GACGAGGCGATTAAAGCGAAGAGATAATTATAGATTATGTGAAAATGGGTCCCTTGGGGCTGGAGGGCCTTGACATAAACAGTAAGTGTTGTGAGTGTCTCTCTGCTCCCCTGCTCCGCTCCGCCGCGCTCCCGCTCGCTCGGCAGCCCCGTACCCAGCAGAAGGGTGAAGCCACCTGTTAGTGGCACCTGGGGCCACTGGGACAGGGCTCAGACCAGCCCCTGGAAAAGGGGAGAGGACACCCAAGGTAGCACCTGATGGCAGCCCTCTGCCCAGAGCTTTGTGCTGGAGGTAACCTGCGAGGGGGGAGGAAGGGGACGGGGCAAACCTGGAGGATGCTCTCTGTGTGAGGGCAGAATATCTGAATTTTAGGTCTTTTCTTTTTCATGGTGGAGTCTGAGTGGCTGTTTAGGAAGCAAGGAGGTTTACAGCATTCCAGTTAAGAAGTGAGGGCTGATTAACCAGTGGCAGATCTTCTCCATGAGCTGTTTGAAAACTCAACACGTTTTGGACAGCTTATGAAGAAGGCTTGCCAAGCCTTCCAAGCCTGGGAAGATATAGTCTGTTTTAACTCCCTCCGTGTCCTTTTATTCAAGGATGGGAAAAGCAGCCCATGTGTTAGCTGCAGGCAACAGGTATGCTTCACCTGGGCATCAAATCAGAGCTAGCATCTCTTACTGCCTATGGGGGAAAGCAGAAGAAAATAGCTTTGAGAATTGAACACTGGGGTTTTTAGGGACAACAGAAGCCTTTCTGGCCATCCTTAGGAAACAGATACAGACACCTTTACTGACAGACAAGTGGTTGCTGACTCCTTTTTAGCTGAACAAAAAAAGCCAGTGCTTGTGTATCATGCAAACTGGCTTGGGAACAAAACTGCACCTGAGTCTTCCTTTTAGCTACAGGTTTTAAATAATTGTGCACATCACCATTAGGTTGAGTTTCATGGGCTTTCCCATCTGAAGATGTCTTATTTTTCCTTAAATTGAGATATTTCTGAAAATACTGACAGAAGTGCTGTGGGTTCCCCCTGTCATAACATTATCTGAGCAATGTCTTTGCAGTGTCATTTTTTTATTTCTGATGTGCTTCTGTCTGGTTTTAGACTGTTTCCACCAGTTTCTAGGCCTTGCTGCTGTCTTGTACCATTTTTATGTGGAGTGCAGATTCCTGCTAAGAACTGGTCTGATAAAAAAGATGCATACATCCTTTTTTTTCTTACAGCTAATGCAGAATATGTATAGATACACATGTGAAATAAATGGGGGGATGACAACCTGAGTTGCAAGATATTCAAGCTATGTTTCTTGTTTGCCCTGTGTGGTTTTGAATGCAAAGTCAGCAAATAACAGTAAACTGTCTTTATTTCATCTAAGTAGAGGTTTTTCCCTATTATCAGCCCCTCCAAAAACTGGGTTTTAAATCCTCTGAGCTCTTATCTCATTTTCCCTTCCTGGCTTTGACACATGACTAGAACAAATTGTTTTAAATGTCTAGAGTGCAACTTGACCTGACTACTTTGTTTGCAGGTAAAATAACTTCATTATGACTGTATGGACTTCCTTTAAATCTATTCAGGAAAAGGACTAATTTATTTTTGTTAATATTTATAGGATAGTTGGAGATAATATATGCTAAATTATTTTTTAAGAGTGCATCAGGGTCAGAGGAATGGTTCAAAGCTTAAGAAATAAATGCAGAGTAGAAAGACGAAATTTCCCAAAACCTTATCCTCAAATGAGGAAATGGCTATTCTGGATTAATTCCATTGTGGAGACTTCTGAAAGGAAAGTGTTTTTTTGGAAGGGGGATATATAGAGCATTTGCAGAGGTGGTTATTCCAGAAAAGCTAAATCATATCCAGATAGCTGTGTCAGGTTTCCTGCTTACAGACAAAAAATATTCTCAGGAAAAGACTAGAAGTCTTGTCTGGAGGCTTGTCAGTAGGAAGATGGCCTGGTTTTGGTACATCATTGTTAGTGTGCATACCCTGTAGCATGGTCCCCATGGAGCACAGTCAGTTGCTTTATCAATGCCTTATACCTTCTGGTACCTCCAGTGATGCTGTGTGAAATCTGGCAGGGCTGAGCTGCCCAGGCTCTGCAGCACCTGGAAGTGCCAGCACCCCATCCGACTGGGTGGCATCACTGCCAGGACTGTCACAGCCTGAACTCATGCTTGTGGCATGGAAAAATCATCTAGGAGTAACTGAGGGTGGTTGTGGACTTGCCTAGCAAAGACACCAGACTCTGCTTTGGTGTTACAGAAGAAAGCAATATTTAATAAAATAAGCATGTGTGGCTGTGCAGTAGGGAGATGCTGCTGAAACCAACTTACTGCACAATGTTGTCTGAATAGCAGCTTCACCCAAAAGGCTGCTTTCAGCAGCCAAGGTGAGGTGCTTGAGAGGTTGGACTAACAAGGTAGGACTAGAGGGACTTCCCAGCATATCAAATCAGCCCTTGTTAGTGGGGGCAGACGTGCCTCATAACCTGCATCATGAATCTGTCAAGCTCCATCTCAAGCAGCATAAGCTTTTTGCCTTTTCTAATCCTGCCATGAGATGCTTTTTTTTTCTCCAGGTTTTCAAAGTAATTGCATCTAAAGCATGCAGTGATATGCTTTCCAGGAGCTTGTGGAGTGTACAGAAAAGACCTCCAGCAAGTAAGTTCATGAGAGACTGGTTAAGAAACTGGAAGACTTCTGTAATGTCCTTGGGGTCTACACATGGAGCGTGAAATCTTGTGCAGCATGCAGCTCTGTGCTAGAAAGGTGCAAGTCAGCTATGAGGAAGGACTGCCTGTGAGCTAAGAACAGGGGTGATGTGCAGGAGAATGATGCTACTAGAGGAGCAACACAAGAGAGAGGTCAGAGGAAGTGACTTCTTTACAGGAAGCAGCACTTTGCTGCAGGAACTGAACACCAGCACTTTTGTCCCCACATTTTGCTGGCACTGAGGAAGGAAACAGATGCTTGAGGTCTGAAGAACAAATGTTTCATTTTTCTTGGGACTATAGGTCCAGGAGCATAACTTTCTTTGTAAGCCATTGCTTGAATGCAAATAATGTTCGTGTTTTGCTTTTCCTTGCTCTGACATTCTTCAGCCTGTGAAGTTCAAGAGCAATGCAGAAGAATGGGAGGAGTACTGTTGCCTTATAGCACCTGGGGATCAATTCTCCTTACACAGCTCTGTGGCATTGTGGAGGCTGTTCTCTCCTGCCCAAAAGACCTGCAGTAGAACAACCTCCCTGGGTGGGTCTGACCTGTTCCAGCAACCTCCTGTTTGTTTGAGGAATTTCCTTTGAGGCTATCAGGTCAGAGTTCTGCTCAACATCCAGACTACCTTCAGATGATTGAAAACTGGGGATTTCATAAGAGGCAACTACTTTGTGTTTTAACTCCTGTGAAGCTGCTAAGTCTGTAGCAACACTGGGTTCATTTGAGCCATAGTTTTAATCTGTAAACTAAAAAGAGAAGGTAGTATGCAGGCTTTGGGTTTCATTCTAGAAAAACCACTCACTTCTTTACTTCTCATAGGAACACAGTTGTATCAGTGTATCTATACCTACAGGAATTACTGTAGGTGTCTTGGGCTAGTATGGCATAGCCCCTGTTCCATAGGGAAATCAGCTGTGTTGGAGTAAATAACTGTCCATTGGCATAACAGAATGGACAGTAGTACAGTTGTACTTTCTCAGCAATACTGGTTTCAGTAACTTCCCATCATTAGATACGTGAGTGCGGAGTTGTCTGGCAAGATAACAATGTTTTTGTTCTGCTCTGTCCCTTTGCTAAAAATTAATCACAGAAAGCTCTTTTAATGTTTTAAGAGTCTGTGAAATGTCTTAATTTGGTTAGAGGTTCTGTTTGGCTGGTGAGAAGTTTTAAGGTGTCTGATGCCAGGGTTCTTCTTTTAGTTCTAGAATTAGCTATAGGTGTAACTCAGGTGCCTGTGACACCACAACTTGTTGATCTTTCTGCCTGCAAGCAGGCCTAAGGGAACATGTGGTGATGTGCTGGTCCCTCTGCATGCATCAGCCTGCTGCTCTGAGCAGAGATCATGATCCAGCTTTGTTTAAACACTGTCAACCCAAAAAGGAGGGGTGTGATTGGGTCACTTGAGGGCTGGTAAACAAAAGACAAATAAAAACACCACCACCAAAACAAAACAAATAACCAAAACTCAGTGGTCAGATTCCAAGACAAACACCAAAGATTTAAGTCCCTGCACAATTACTTATCAAAGAGTGCTGGGTCATGTCAGTCAGTCATGTTTTAAAGCCACCAAATGAAGTCCTTGCCCACTGTTGACCCCTTCAGATACAGAATACAAAGTTGTAGAGCTTGTCATTTAGAGAGGCTGAGGTATGAATGAGTTAAAGAGCAGAACAGAGTGGAAAATGACCTGGAAAATATGACTGTTAAATACACTCCTCTGGATGCAGCCTGTAGCTACAGAAATCCTTAAGCCACTGAGTTACCAAAACTGGGAGGATCTAACTGGGAGCAGTTGGCTTTGCAGGACACTGTTTCTTCTACTTTTTTCTCCAAGCCACAGCTTGTGGCCACTGTTTGAGCTGGATGGCATCCAAAGGGCCTTAGGACTGACCCAGAGTGGCTGTTAGAAGTTTGCATAACAGGGAGAATAGGAGCTTAAGCCTTTTTTCTTCTGTGGGATTGCAGTGCTTTGTATCAGGACTGAAACATGGGGTTTGGTGGCTAACTGTTTAGAATCCCTGTGCCACTTCACAGGAGTAAGCTGACCTTTACCCTGGCATGATATTGTTAACAACAACCTTTGTTTTCTAGGAAGCAGGATCTTCTGTCTCTTACCTTTGGGGGGGAAGGAAAAACCAACCCTGCATGTACAATATTAGGCCTCTGTTTCTGTCCAGTGATACTATTAAAACATCTGTACCAAAGTTAGAGCATAAGATGTGCATGTAGCCTTTGTGCTGTGCAGTAACGTGGTGCTTCATTTGCTTTTGTTTCCTGAATAGGGAAGAGGACAAGAACATTTTTGATTACTGCAGAGAAAACAACATTGACTATGTTACCAAAGCCATTCGATCAAAAAAAGTGGACGTGAATGTCACAGATGAGGAGGTATGGAACAAAAGATAAAGGCCATCTATCTTTTAAGTGTTTGATGTATTAATTCAGTGCTGCATCTTGTCAAAAGTCCATAGTGAGGATCGTTTTAAGAAGGTACTGCAGCAGTTGGAGAAATACTTGGTCCCTGAAACAGGGATAATCCATTTGAAAATAGCTTTCCACTGAATTTCTAGTAGTGTGGATGCAAGAACTGTGATGCTGTAACATATCAGAAATTTACTGTCTGTTATCAGCAATGCCAGCAACCACTTGCAGAATGAAGTCTTCTGAATACCCCCCTTTCC